AGCTACAGGTGGGTTTGGTTGGGGGAGGAAAATTAGCTTTATCTTAAATTTTTCAAGACCCACCAAAGAAGAGAAATCTTGAATCTTAAGTTCCCACAGAAGTTTTTGTGAATTGCTTCTTGTGGGGATGAAGGTCTTGGAGAGGAAATGCAATTGAAAAGATGAAAAAGACCTTGTACTTTCGCATGTGCATTGTGTGTGCACCGGAAAATGAGAAGATTCGACGGAATATTGCCATAGGTGGTTATGTGCGTCGATAAAGTGGGCTTGAGTGTGCCCATTCGAATATTTTTTATTTAAGATAGCAAAGTGGAAAAACAGGCAAAGTACAGGTAGCGAAATGCTATTAACCCTTAAATATTTGAGCTAGAAAAGGAATTAGCATAAAATTAGTAATGTAGAATATAAATTCAATTTTTGCTCTCTTGTCAATATGAAATTCATTTAGTTTACAGTAAAGAAACAAAATAATTTTTCTCTAGGGGCAAGGACCGTCGAAAGCATGCCTCAGTTACACGCGTGTGTGTGCACATATTTAAGAAAATTGTCTATATATGACATTAGATTACCGTGTTAAATTTGACCTTATCTTATTTCTAACGTCAGCGTCAGTCTTATCTGGAGCACACGGAAAATATTATTGTCCCATTAAATGAAAGGAGATTTTTTCTGCCTATATATATTGGTTTTCTGAATTGCTCCTCTGCAACTTTTGTTTTGCTATTTATTCAGTGAGTGTGAATTAATATAGGTTAATAGAGTAAGCAATCACTCGTTATTTACAAGCAGTTGGCCAAAACCTTCCGATCGAAGACTTGTCCTGGAAAGATCTAGTAACTAATTAGGCTATAGATCTGCTTATGATAAATTCTATTGTATTTTTTCAATTCTCATTTGTTTTCAATTGGAGCCTTCTTTTTTTTTTGGGAATGGATTTCTTAAAAAAAAATTGTTCATCTTGAAAAGGTTACGAGAGGACTTCTTTTTATGTCAATACTTCGACCATTTTCTTGTGGATTTGCAGAGATTTTTCTCGGTTTGTTATGGATTGTAACATTTTTTTTCTTTTTGAAGTGAAAATAACTTCCACTTCCAATTTTAAAAAAATTGGAATCAGAAAACTCAAGCTTCAGAAGTTTATGAATTTCAGAAATCTTGTCACCTTCATAATTTTCTTTTAGAGATATAGTATAAAATACGTACTGTTCCTAAATTAGAAAATTCCAGACCGGATCGGTGATTTCCACCTAGTAATGATGCAAAACAAAATTTTAATTGTGACGCCTTTGTAATTCCAGTCGTTCAGTTATGAATATTTCCACATGTTTGATACCGATACATTGCAGCCGAGATGGTTTCTTTTCGTAAATATACATATTTTTATTATTTATTTTTGGTTAAATTACACCCACACCCCTGAGGTATGCTTAAATAATTTTAAGGTCCCTATGGTATCGATAATTACACTCACCCCCCCTGAAACGTAGTTAGAAACTCTAACGGGATATTACATTTGATACATTATTCTGATAGGGTTCTAATGGACTATTACTTTAAGCTAGTGGTGGAGATAACATATAGTTATGGGGAGTTATGGGGTGACATGGCTCCCCCAAAATTTCTTAAATCACCCATAACTTCTTGTTGTCTCCACCACTTCCTGAAACCAATAGTCCTTTAGAACTCTATCGTAATAATGTATCTAATGCATTATCCCATTAGAGTTTATAACTACGTTTCAAGGGGGTGAGTGTAATTATCGATACCACAGGGACCTTAAAGTTATTTAAGTATACCTCAGGGGTGTATGTGTAATTTACCCTCTATTTTTTTCTGGGATGCATGCATATGTTTAAATGCTTTATGTTATTTATAAACATGAGGTGTTTTTTTTTTAATTTGACATTACATTAGGGAGTGGCCGTAATTTACCCATTTTAATTATTGTATATGTACTTTATAGTGTGAATATTTTCTTATGTATCTGTTCTGCATGTATATCTATAAATATTTTGTCCTGTGTAAGTAATCAGGGACTTAATGTTCAGTGACATTCATTTTACAGCTTATGGCTCGTTTGAAGTCATTAGGTGAACACTCGAAGAGCAAAGGAAAATCTAAATCAAATAGCACAACTAATAGAAGAAAAAAAAGGCGCTGAGTATTCAATTCTAAGCTTGCTTTGGCTCAATCGAGCAACATTAATACCGCTGGACCAAAGAATATCAAGGACAAGAATTCTCAGTCAAATACAAGCAACGAAGTAGGTTTTTGAGAAGCTCTCAAGGACATGGGTGAGTTATACAAATCTATACTAGAAACTAGAATGCAGAGCTCGCCCTTGGTACATATTTTGCCTAGAGAATTCTATCTGAACTTGAATCCCGACCCATCAATAAAGAAGGCCGGTATTATGAAAAGGGATCAATTTCACGTGGAATTTGACCTTAGTCTTGCAGAAGACGATGATTCGAGGGCAATTCTAATAACCAAAAACTTCTCTGATAGTTCATTTGGTAAGAAAGTATCAGAATGTCCACGAAAGTGGTGGAGAAAAATGAATGAATGGGCTCGGAGGAAACCAAGAATATGTATGCTGAAAAATCACACATGCTCAAATTAGAGCCGACACTGAAGCGTTTAAGTTGAATGGATCCGTGTCCGAGAGGGAGGTGCCAGAAATTCTGAAGAGAGAGAACTTACTGAATTATATCTACTAATTATGTATGTAGATGTTGAGTGTCTTGGTAATTATTTTAGTTGTTTTCTTCTCTTTTGCATTTCCATTTGTTTCCCTAATTTCGAAAATTTATTTGTTAGCCGTATGAATCACTCCCACTTGTACAAAAACATGTCTTTAGGCGATCGGATAAGGGAATGTATCTCTTTAGTACCAGGATTGACGTAGTAGTCATGAGAGGCAAATAGCATTTCATTAAAATAATAGACTATGCAGTTAAAGAGGCCGACAATGGCCCCTCTGTGCCTCATTGGCCATTGCAATAAAAAAAAATCATTTATTCCCAAATTCAGATTCTGGGAGAATTACACTTTTGATCCCTCATGTTTGACCTAATTTCTTCTAGGGTTTGGTTTTTGTGGAAGATTTGCCGAGTGGTGTGGAGAATAGTAAGAAAAAATTCGCCACAATCTATGGGTGAACTACCGATGGCTTCGCTGGGAGTTTGATCTATGTTGCACTCCTCGAATTGCTCCATGCATTGGTTGATGAGTTCTACGTAAGCCTCCATGTACGACCCCTCGATAGATACATGTACAACGTTTTGCCCACCTCCAACGTTGAGAATGAGGGTAAGCTGGTCATGAACTTCTTAAGATCGTCGAACGAGCATTGACACTCTACCGTCCACTCGAACTCCTTTTGATGAGCATGTTGTCAACGTACACTTATATATTGCATTTGAGTTATGCTGCCAAGACTTTATCTATCAGCCTTTTATAAGTAGCTCCTGCATATTTTTGATGAAACAAAATAACCTAATAAAAATATGTTTTGTTGGAGGTAATGATGCTAACCATAGGTTGATCCATAGATTCAAGTTTGATCTGGTGATAACCTTGCGATGCGTCCATCAAATTGAGTAGCTTGCACCCTGTAGTAGCATCCATTAATTGTTCTATCATGGGCAAAGGATAATGATCTTTAGGACACGCCAAATTGGGGTCACAGAAGTCTATACACATCCGCCATTTGCCTTCGGCTTTCGCTACAAGTACCGTTTTGGATACCCACGCCGGGAATTGGATCTCCCTTATATGTCCTATTCGCAAGACTTTATCCACCTCCTCCTTGATAATTGCATATTCAATGACCCCAAATTGACTCCTTTTCTATCTAACAGGCCTCGCATCCTTGCAGATATATAACATAAAAGAATTTATGGTCCCGAATTCGTTTAATACAAAGATGTTATCTTAAGTGTTATCACACTTGAGAAAACATGCAGCGGAAATATAAAGATATAAAGACAATACTCAAATCTAAAAATGGTCACAAGTAAAAACTTGTGAACTTGCCCTATACAGGACGGAAAAATTATATTAAAACAATATTAGAAGAATACAAATAAAAGATGTACGAAAACTTCTTCCTTATGAATGAATCATTAACATGATCATTCTTACATTCAAATATAGAAACAAAAAGATAAATACTAAAAATTCTAGATTTCAAATAATGTACTCGTGAGGAGTACGTAAAGAACTTATTTCTTATGAATGAATCACTATCTTGATCATTCTTACAACCAAGTCTAGAAACATATATACTAAACAATCTAGACTACAAAGAATGTAGTTATGAGAAGTACGTAAAGAATGTACTCATGAGGAGTACGTAAAGAATGTACTCATGAGGAGTACGTAAAGATTGTACTCATGAGGAGTACAACCAACCGATTCTTAAAAACACACTAAAACACTCATGTATTCTTTTCAGCTCTCGGTGTCTAATTTTTGGAATCAATCATTTTCCTTGAGTCTTGAAGTCGGTATTTATAGACATTCCAAGCTTCCACTCCTCAGCCCATGATCTGCAAGAAAACCAACTACAAGAGCACTCAAGAACATGGGTTAGTGGGTTGGTTTAGTAGTTAGAATAATATCCACAATTTAACCCACTAAGCACTACTTAGCCCACTAAGCCATATACTTAACCCACTAAGCACTACTTATTCCATAACTAAAATTTAGTTAGAAAATAAGAAAGTTAAAAACAAAATGTGGAAATAATCCACGTGTTTCAAACTCCCCCTTTTTAACATTCTGATCAAAACTAAATTTTAGCTTAACCCCCCCCCCCCCCCCCCCCTCCCCCGAGTTATTGCTTGAACTCCCCCTGAATTTGACAACCAAAATTAACATAAAAGTTCAGAGAGAAAATAAAAACTGAAAAAAAATTAAAGTAGAATATCCAAGGTCTCCTCAGTATCAGCTGATGTTCCTCCATCACTAGTACTGGACCCACTGCTTTCCTCTTCTCATTCAGCTTCACCCTCATCCAAAGGATGAGAAGTTCCTGCTTCAACTTCATGACTAGCTTGTTCTCCTCCTTTTTGATCAGAAAGAACTTTTTGTAGCATCTCCACCATGGACTGGTGATAAGTGATCTGAGCTAGGGGGTGAGTAAGCTGTTGTAACAAAAGATCTCGTGGAACAGAAACAAGGATGTTAGGGGTGTTGTCAACATGAGGAGCAACACCTTCAGTACCAAGATTATTTTGACCTGGTTCAGTTGAGAGAAAATTATCTCCATTCTAGGGAAGATATTGGACATGAGGAGCTTTTAGAAAATTTTGAGAAACAGTGATCATGCCAAGTGGAGTGTGAAGATATTTTGATTCATCTTGGCCCAAATTTTGAGAAAGCAGAAGGGCTTAGATGAGAGAAGGATAAGGAAGATGAGTGGAGGAAGAAATTTTCTGGGCAAGATGACCTATAGTATGAAAGAAAAGTTTGCCAAAATCAACTGGTAATCCTATCCCCAATTTGTACATGAGTACTGCATGAGGTTTAGTAACCACGGAGACATTTTTGGATGGAATCCAATTCATCACTGTGAGTCTGAACAAGACAAAATAAAATGCAGTGAGTTCAGAAACTTTGAATTTTCTGGGGTGAGCAGGCCAACATTTTAAACGATTGCCAGAAAGAGTTTTACAAACCTCAGTAAAATCACCATAATTATCCTCATCAATCACAGTAGGAGTTTGTAAATGAGAGTTGATAATTTTCGTAGAAAAGGAGAAAATGGAATTTCGCACAAAAACTTTGCCAAAGTTTGGAGAATTTTTCTTTAAAAAGGAAGTTTGTAAATTGGCATAAAATTCCTTCACAATAGAAGGATCATAAGGACAGGCAACCTCAACTAGACTAAGGATTTTTCTTTGATCAAGAAAAGCAGTGATCCTATGTCTATCAAACTCATCCTTGGAAATTTTCTTTTCCTCAATGAATTGGCAGTTCATGATTTGAGGACTCAAATTTGAATCAGATTCAAAATAAAAGATAGGACTGAAGGCATTGTTTACCTCAAAATGAGTTGACAGATCCTTCCCATCCAAGTCTGGTTCTTCTTCTTCTGACGATTCCTCTTCTTCTGAGTCTTCAAGTTCATCTAGGATGTATGCTGGCTCAGGTGATGCAACAGGTGGAGCAGCATCTTCTTCCATCTGAGATGAGTCCTTAGAAGAGTCACTGTCTGACTCTGAGGATGGCAAGTTTTTGCGGAAGGAGGCAAAGGGAACTTCCCAGCTATCATCATTTGTTTCTTCTTCTTCAGTTTGGGAAGGTGATGCATCCACTTGAACAGTTGCCTCTGCCAGAGTTTCCAGAGGATCTGGATGTGGAGCTGAGGGTCTACATGCAAGAAAAGTCAGAATATCCCAGAAAAGTCAGGCATTTCCTCATCCTGATAGGGAGCAGCATCCTCAGCAGCACTCTGAGGGGCATTGGCTGAGTCAGAATGTGCAGCAGCATCTTCTGGAACATGTGTAGTAGCATCTTCAGAGACAGAATGTTGAGAAGCTGCTGCTGCCATATTAGGCTGAGATGTCTCCCCCTGAGTTGATGCTGGTAGAGGTGAGTCGTTGGACGATGACTCAGTGGAGCTTGAGGAGAGAGCTTGGGCTTCTGGTTCTGCAAAGTAAGGATCTCCTGCTTCATCATCTGTGTCCTCATCAACCAAATGAAGACCTCTTAGTGGGTTTGGCCTAACTGGAGTACGGCCACCTCTGTTTCCTCTTCTTCCTCCTATGCCTCCTCTTCTGGGAGAGTTTCCTCCCCTCCGGCGTTGTGACCTAGCAGTATTCAGATCTGAGAAGGGATTCATGCGCTTGGACCGGCGAGTTGGAAACCTTCACTAGGCCAAAACACAAGATTGGCGACGAAAATTCGCGACGAATTTCATCTCCTAGCGACGTTTTATCACGGTTAGCGACGTTTTATTTTCGTCGCCAAATCAGTCCAAAATCGACGCCAAATACCCCGTCGCAAAGTCAGCGACGAAAATACAATTGCGTCGCCAAATTTGGCGACGAAAAACACACTTCGTCGCTAAAACCGTATTTTCTGAAAAAAAATTATTTATTTATTTTTCGCGACGGATAATACAAATTCGTCGCAAGTTGTTGCTACGAAATTTCATATTTCGTCGCAAGTTCACAGAATCTTTTGGCGACTAAATTGTTTTTTCGTCGCCCGGCTTTAATTAATTTGGCGACGTTAACGGAATTATATTTCGTCTCAAGTACTCATTTTTGCTTGTGACGATTTTGTTTTCTTCGCAAACGTTTTTTTTTTAATTAGTTTATTTATTTTAATTATTTTCTATTACAAAATAAAATAAGCTGTTAAAAAAAAAAAAAAAACCAAAACCATATTTACTCAAAAATATTAAAAACAACGATAACCAATTAAATATCAAAATACAACACAAACATCAATTCAAAAATTACATAAAAACTTGAAACCATAAATGTATTAGTTGAAGAGGCACACTAATTTCATCTCGTGTTTGTACTCCACTATTAAAACGCTCGAGCAAGGTGTTCAAAATACCTCGGGTTTCTTGCAATTGCTCTTCTAATCGATCAACTTTTTCATCTTTAACTTTATTTTGTTCTTGCATTGTTTCTCGGGTTTCCTGCAATTGTTGTAAGGACTCAATTTAACTTAATTGAAACTTAATGACTTAATTGAACTTTTGAAACTTACCCAAACTAGAAATTGATTGAAATGAAGCTCTGGTTCTTCTTCTCTTCCATGGGAGTTTCTCCCCCACTATTTTTTTCTTGACTAACAATACCCTTTGAAGGGTAACCTCTGCCCATGTGCATCAAAATTCCTGGAGACAAATGGAAAGAAAGAAGGGGCCAAGCAGCGACGGAATTGAATTTCGTAAGCCTATCATACTTTAACTAAATCGGACACAAACTATAGCACAAATCAGAGCTGTTGTCGATTATTTTTATTTTCACAGTTTAACCTTTTCTTCTAGTCGAACACAAATACGAGTTTGAGCCAAGTATATAAGCATTTCCATAACACAAATACGAGTTTAAGTTTATTTCGTACTGTTAACAAAGTGAGTTTCAATAATCGTTCGAAAGTCCGTAGTTTAATTTTTTCTTGAATTATCGAATGTTATGGAATATAACATTCGATAATTAAGGATTAGTAAACAGTATATATCTTGTTCGTCCCACGACGGAACTCATTTCAAATTCTTAAACGACATTTAGAAAAATCCGTTATTTTTAAGGTTTCGACATAGTTTAGTATTAACTCTTGAAATTAACAATCAAGGAAAAGCAAAGGCTTCGCCCCAGAAGTGATAATATCGTTAACACTCATTGCAACCTGATTAAAAAAAAGTTGCGAATTGTGATTAAGTTTGGTACAAATAACGAACATGCAAATAATGACATAAGTTTTACCAAATCAATGCCAATGGTCTCATGGATTCCAGTCTCGAAAGCCAGCTTAAGTTTGGTACCCACTCCGTCTGTACCAGCCACCAGATACGAATCCCCTGCGAATTATTGAAACATCGTTAGATTACAATATAATAAGATGGGAAAGACCACAAGATACAACCAACAATGAATAAGGTAAAAATTTACGTAAAAAGTATTGAGAGCAATAAAACCATCAACATATAGAAACATGATCGGTTTGGTGAGTGCAAAAAAATATGTTTCTATGAATCATCGCCAAATTTTGTAGTAGAAGACTTCTTTAGGGAAACGCCAATAAGTTCGAAAATGATCTTCGAATGTGGGGAATCCAATCATAAAAAAAGGCAATAAGTTTCTCACTGTCACCCGAAAATAATTTGAAGCAACTTCTCCTTGTTAAATAAGTCCAAGTGTTGGACCCAAAAAAATGTCAAACAACAATCTAAAGCCAATCAATTCACATTCAAAGAAAAATGCACATTTCAGAGAGATTAATTGCAATTCACACATTAACCAAAACAACTGCAGCAAAACAATGGAATACGGGTAATAAGTAAAATAAAAAAAAACCCTACCCAAAGGGAAAAGTTCACCAAAACCACCAATTCCAGGAGCCATCTTTGCTATTCTCCTAACAAGTTCTGAACCAGCATCAATGTCAACACCCGCATCCTTGTACGTAAGTACCTCACCTTTTTCTCCACCAGAAGAAACGTAAGTGTAGGCACCTGCAAATTAGAAAATGGAATCAAACTCGCTATTCCTGAAGAAAAAAAGAGGGGAATTAGGGTTCGGAGGAAGAAGAAAGTAATACCCACCACTCAATCCGAAACCTCAAAAATAACGGATTTTTCTAAATGTCGTTTACGGAGAGGGCTGACGGCGACGGCGGCAAGGGCTGGCGGGAGACTTCTGCGGCGGAGGGCTTACGGGATCGGCGACGATTACGGTTCACAGAGGAGGGCTAACGCCGGTGGGCAGACGGGGAACGGCGGGCAGCGGACGGCAGGCAGCGGGCGGCGGGCAGCAGGCCGCGGTGGGCTGATCGGAGAAGGAGAGAGAGAGAGAGAGAGAAATTTTAAAGAGAGAAGGAGAGAGAGGAAGAGAAATTTTAGAGAGAGAAGAGAGAGACAGCAAAGTGAACGAATTAGGGTCTGTGCAGAATAATTAATCTAAACTTTGCGACGTTTCTACATTAACGTCGCAAGATAATAATTTTTTAAAAGGAACCCTAGCGACGTATACAGGTTTACGTCGCCATCAAATTCAGAAAAAAAGAACCATGGCGACGTATTATACATTTTCGTCGCGAGTTTTCAAATATAAAATTGCAAAATATGTAAATCGTGCGACGAACGTCCTGTTTCGTCGCAACAAAATATATATATATATATATATATATATATATATATATATATATATATATATATATATTTTTTTTTTTTAATACGTGCGACGTTTTCATATGTTGCGTCGCGATCTAGAGACGATTATCCAAATCGTCGCGAGGGTTTTTAACAAAATCGGGGTTAGCGACGATTTTAACTCATAAACGTCGCAAACATGCTACGAACATAAAACCGTCGCTTAAAAACACGTCGTCAGTCTTGCATTTTGGCCTAGTGCTTGCTGCAGTGGAAGAGGGACCCACGAACTCGAAGTTGTCTGGGTCAATCGGATTCAGCTCATCTCCTGGCTCAATAAAACTGATCGGCATTGCTTTAAGATTGACAGGATGAACGATGATTGCCAGATTCAGGTCTGCTGGTTCAGGTGCTGCAGCATCGTTGTGGACATCACCATCGGCTGGAAGAGGATTTCTAGGAGGAGATGCCATGATACAGTAGATGAAAAAAAATTGCTTCTTGTGCTTTTGATTTTTGAGTGTGAATTTTCGAAAGAGAAAAACGAAATTTATTAGCCCTAATTTGCAGAAAAAAATGAAGTGGAGAAGGTGAAGAAGTGGTGTGCGTTTTTCTTGGAGAAAGTGTGATTAAGGAGAATAAAGGTTTATGTGGCAGTTTAAAACAAAACGTGACACATGGCACAATTAGGAGTGGACTTAGTGGAAAATAAAAGACTAACCCATGTACCCCATGACCCATATAAATAGTGATAATTCAATAATAAATAAAATAAGAATAATAAAAATAGTAGCACTCACGAAATTTTCACAATAATAAGAAACACATCTATAATGATTAATAGTGTGAGAAAAAATTGCTAACAGGCATAGAATTTATAATAATAATAATTTTTTTTTAATTTTTTTTATTTATTTTTTTTAAACTCTTATTTTCAAGTCAAACAATTCACATGGAACATGATCAAGTGTTCAGTTTGAAAGTTCCTCAGTTACTAAGATATGACTATTCAGATAGAGGAGTTTGACTTATGTGATTATAATTGTTCTCTGAAATGTTTACATGAAGCATGATCACGTTTCAAGGTGAAAGACTTCCAGTTACTTATTTAGAGAATAATCCATCACGGTGAAGTCATTATTTAAAGAAGCTAAGCTTCAGTAAATTATGTTGCAGCTTAAGATATTGGATGAGGTGATGCAACATATTTCAGGACATGTTTATTGAGTACACATCCCGAGAGATTTTCTAAGTTTAGAAAACCTCTCAGAATCTAATGCCTTTGTAAAGATGTCAGCCAGCTGATCTTCTGTAGGAATGTACTTTAAGCACACTATATTTTTCTCAACTATATCACGAATAAAACGATGTTTAATATCTATGTGTTTAGTTCGTGAGTGTTGAACAGGATTTTTTGAAATATCAATAGCACTTGAATTATCACAATATGTGGTCAGGGTGTCACTGGTTAACCCATAATCCCCCAACATTTGTTTCATCCAAATTAGTTGACCACAACATCCTCCAGCAGCTACATATGCTGATTCAGCTGTTGAAAGTCATACACAGTTTTGTTTTCTACTAAACCAAGAAACCAGATTATTCCCGAAAAAGAAACATGCACCTGATGTGCTTTTTCTGTCACTAATATCCCCAGCCCAATCAGAATCACTAAAACCTATCAAATTTGTATTAGTGTCTCTGAAAAACTGAATGCCTAAGTCTACTGTACGTGCAACATACCTAATAATCCTCTTCACAGCTTTAAGATGAGTGACTTTGGGATTAGCTTGATACCTGGCACACACAAAAACACTAAACATAATATCAGGTCTGCTTGCAGTTAGATACAGAAGACTTCCAATCATGCTTCTGTATAGGGTGCTGTCAACATCTTCGGCAACATCATCCTTGGACAGTTTTTGACTTGAACCCATTGGAGTTTTCATGTGCTTGGCTGACTCCAACTCAAACCTTTTGACCAGATTTAGAGCATAATTCTTTTGATTTACAAAGATTCCTTCACCTATTTGTTTGATCTGGAGTCCTAGGAAGTAATTCAACTCTCCTACCATGCTCATCTCAAAAGTGTGAGACATAGAATCTACAAAATACTGTAAGAGGTTAGCACAAGTAGAACCAAAAATGATATCATCAACATATATCTGTACAATAATGATATGGTTATTTGTTCTTCTAACAAATAGAGTTCTGTCTGCTTCTCCTCTAGTAAATTGTATTTCAAGTAAGAAGTCAGTGAGTCTTTGATACCAAGCTCTAAGAGCTTGTTTAAGACCATACAAAGCCTTCTTAAGCTTAAACACATGATCAGGTTTGGCAGAATCTTCAAAAACCTTGGGCTGCTCTACATATGTTTCTTCATTTAAAACACCATTTAGAAATGCACTTTTGATGTCCATCTGATACAGTTTGATTTTAAGAAAACATGCTATAGCAAGAAGTAACCTAATAAATTCAATTCTAGCTAATGGAGCAAAGGTTTCATCAAAATCTATACCTTCAATCTGAGTATAACCTTGTGCTACTAACCTAGCCTTATTTCTCACAACTGTACCTTTTTCATCAGTATTGTTTTTGAAGATCCACTTAGTTCCTATTACATTTACATGACTTGGTCTGGGAACTAAGTACCAAACATCATTCCTGATGAACTGATTCAGCTCTTCATGCATTGCATTAATCCAAAACTCATCCTTCAGTGCTTCTGCAATATTCCTTGGTTCGACTGAAGATACAAAACAAGTTGTTCCAGTTAGTGCACATTCAGAAGATAAATTTGCAAATCTTACCATATCTATGTAATTTACTCTCTCTTTTCTTCTGGTCCTTATCCCATCAAAGATATCTCCCACAACTTGAGTAGAGGGGTGATTTTTCTGGATTCTACTTGATGGTTCCTTTCTGCAGACATCATGAGTTAGCTGCAATTCAGCTTCTGTGCTCTCTGTAGGCTGTATTGAGTCAGATGTGGTAACACTTGGCTCAACACCCTATTCTCTTAAAACTGGACTGTTTATATCAGGAGCATCTGTGGCAGTATTGTCTCCTCTGGTTGTTCCTCCTTCAGCAATCAGGTCATCAACTTCATCTTCAGCTGTTTTACTGCGGAGATCAGCAAAATCATCAAATACCACATTTACAGATTCAATAATGGTTCGAGTTCTTAAGTTATATACTCTATAAGCATGACTGTTATTAGAGTATCTCATAAATAAATTCAAATCACTTTTTGAATCAAATTTAGCTAGATGATCTCTATCATTTAGGACATAGCAAACACATCCAAACACATGCATGTATTCTAGATCAGATTTTTCTCTTAAAAGATACACACAAGTATATCTCGAAAAATCATCAACACACACAAATACATATTTTTTTACCACCTAGACTTTCTACCTCTATAGGACCCATAAGATCCATATGTACAAGTTCAAAATAAATGGTGGTACCAACGTGTTGTAACACTTTGTGTGGTACTCTAGTTTGCTTTCTTTTCTGGCACATTCCGCATACAGGAATGTCGTTGATCTTGAGATCTGGAATTCCTCTTATGGCATTGTACTTGTTGAGTAGCTTCACGTTTTTGAAGTTTGTGTGCCCTAGTTTCTGGTGCCACAGCTCTACTTCACTTACTCTTGAGCTCTTGCATGAGATGGTGTCACCTGCTTGATAACAATTATCCATTGATCTGGAACTGATGAGATTTGACCCCAGTCCTTCAACATGTAAAACATTTGAAAGTTTTGGAAGTCCCTCAATACTCAGTGTTCCACGTCCAACCACTTTGCCTTTAGCTCCTTCTCCATAGGTTACACGTCCTCCATTGAGTGTATGGTAGTTTGATAGAAATTCTTTAGTTCCAGTCATGTGCCTAGAGCATCCACTATCAAAGTAGCATGAACCTGAAATATTAGCATTTAAAGAAGTGTATACTGCTTTGCACATAATTTTACCTTTGGGAGTCCATATTCTGCATTCCTTTTTGGTAAATTCTACCTTTTTCTTGAAGGTGCTCCCTGGAGTGCTGTGACTCATCCTGTACAACATTTTATCACTACTTAGTTTCTCATAAAATGGACGGATATGTCCTGGTAAGAAACATTAATGACAAATGTATCCCCTTATTCTGGACTCTGAAGTGGTGACTGTGGAATTTCCGCATTCTTTTCCATTTGAACCCTTCTCTTTTACAAAGACAATCTCATTCTTCTTTACTGGCTTCTGTTTCTTCACTTGGTTTTTGAACCCTAGACCTTCATTTTTGTTGTACTTCTCCAGTGACACAATCTCTTTGAGTTTAGTTGTGCCGGTATTCATCCTCTTGATTGCTAGAGTCGCTTCTTTGAGTTCATCTTTCACCTTTGCCAGTTCAAGATCCTTCTTGGTGATACCAACCTCCAAATGAGTGATTGTTTCTTTGAGAGAAGAATTTTCCTTGTT